TTGCACCTTGAGCTCGATGGTCGTCAACGACGTGTTGATCAACCAATAGATGCGGAGTTGCAACAGGAACCTGTCGCATTCGATGACGGTCTTGCCATCGTATCGGAACGGGAGAAGAAGCTTCAAAGTCTCCTTATCGGGGGCGGTTGCGGGGGAGGACATTATCGGCATCGGGGGGGACGGAGGACGCTGCGGGGGCGGAGGCGGCTGTGGTGGCCCTCCGCTGGTTGAACTTCGAGAGGAGTGAGTGCTCAAGCGGCCTCTCGGCGGAGTCAGCGGTGAAGGCGCCGGAGGAAGTTCGGTGGGGGGGTTATGTACGTCAGGGACTGCTGACGCGGGGGCGAGCACTGTCGGCGAGGCGGACTGAGCAGGATCCGCGGACTCGGACTCCGAGACTCCTTCTTCACCTGCACCCTCCTCAGGCTCAGGCTCTGGTGCAGGGTCTGGAGGGAGATCTCCTCGTACTTGACCAGCGACAGTTTGAGGGAGGCGGAAGCTGGGGGAGACAGGGCGAGAATGCCGCGAGGCGGATCGAGATGCGAGGGTGCTGCGGGGACCAAGCGGATGTTGGGCCCTTCTGATCGCCTTGTAGCGCGGGTAGTCTTCTGCGATCGATCGGGGTGTCCGGTTGGGGCACGGCTGCTGTTCGCAACGGTAGAGGGCAGGCTCAGGGCCGTCTGGGAGGTAGACGTCGATGAGGTCCTGAGAGTTGAATGCGTGAACTTGACCTTGGCAGGCAGCCACGTTGGATGGGGGGAGGACAGGGAGGTGCGCGTACTAAAAATGGCCGTGCTATACTAGCTTACGCTACGGCGCCCGAGAAGACCGTGAGGTTCGCAGTTCACGTGGGGCCCAGTACTGCTTTTGGCTAGTATGCAGCAGGAACCTAGACCACGTGTCCGTGAGGACAAACACCGCCCACTGAAGTGCAGGTGCTGAAGAGTTCGTTCCTCGAGGGGTGGCGATGTATAGTAGGGCTATCTACGTATCGTATGTACCGTAGAGTATCGTAGGGGTGCGCACCACCCGACCTGTGGGAAAGGAAAGTGAATGTAGGGAGTCCCAAGAGGACGCCGGCAGCTTGGGGAGTTTTGACCTAATGTCGCGACTTGAGGTCAAGCGACTGGAGAAAACCTGAAAGCTGGGGGTGTCCGACTGATTCTCACCGAAGCGATGGTGAGCAATGCTCAAACCTAAGGCTGGGGACAAGAAAATGTATTAGTTAGTATAAGTAAGTAAGCAGATACATGAGAGCTTACTGACCTAGGGACAAGAGGTCGAAACTGAGGTCCCTAGGGCAGCAGAGGCCGGCTTATATACAGGGGAAGATAAGGGCAGGCTGTGCGCACTGGTCCGTGCGCAGCTGGTCCGTGCACAGCATGCTGACGTGGCCCCGGGGGCCGGTGAGTCAGAGAGGCTGTGTCAGCGGAGCCCGAGCTGTGCTGTGCACTGCCGCCCCATCTAATCTAATCGTACAGTAGATATGATGTGTCCGTATCAGGCATGTAGTACAGAGGTCGCGGGTTCGAGCCCGCGAAAAGGAAAAATTAAAAAACGGCTAGACGCCGTGTCAACTCGTGACATAGTTGTACCATTAGTTGGTCAAACCCTAAGTTCGACCTGGTTATTCATTCAAGTCTCTGCTCCTCCTTGCTTGGAGTAGTGGTCATTCTCGACTTCCTCGCTCGATCTTCAGGACAATGTACTATCCATAAGTCCTCGCTCGTCGTCTACAAGTCAGGCATCGATATAGGAGTATAGACCGTTGTATCAAAAGGTCGAACTTTTTAAGCTATGTTCCTAGTTTCACCTAGTCAAACAACTCATCCACCATCATGTCGACCAACGCAGTAAACCCGGTTCCCTTGGGACTACCAGCACTCGCAGGATCTCCCCTTCTCCAGTACGACCGAGCAGGCCGTTGCTTCGTCACCACCACAAGAAGGACTCCCATCTATCCTCGAGGCGGCTCCTGGGTTCGCGCAGAAGGTTCCAACCCGCAGATCGTCGCCCACCAACAGCTTGTCAGCTATTACCAGAGACACCCTCCCACTCACCCAGAAGACATATTTGCCATCCTACGAATCAACATTGAACCAGCACAAACAACAAAGAACCTACAGTCACCTGTTAACAAACAACCGTTCAAACTCCCAGACATTCAGTATGTTCCCATCGAGGCTCCAGACACCGAACCACCACCTGTGTCACGACTTGACACGGCGTCTAGCCACTTTTTTAATTTTTTCCTTTTCGTGGGCTCGAACCCGCGACCTCTGTACTACATGCCTGATACGGACACATCATATCTACTGTACGATTAGATTAGATGGGGCGGCAGTGCGCGGCACAGCTCGGGCTCCGCTGACACAGCCGCTCTGACTCACCGGCCCCCGGGGCCGCGTCAGCATGCTGTGCACAGACCAGCTGTGCATGGACCAGTGCGCACAGCCTCCCCTAAACATCCCCTGTATATAAGCCAGCCTCTGCTGCCCTAGGGACCTCAGTTTCGACCTCTTGTCCCTAGGTCAGTAAGCATCCCTTTGTATTCCCTTCTTACTTAACTAATATATTCACTTGTCCCTAGCCTTAGGTTTGAGCATCGCTCACCATCGCTTCGGTGAGAATCAGTCGGACGCCCCCAGCTATAGGTTTTCCTCAGTTGCTTGACCTCAAGTCGCAACAACCTGCTTCATCCGCACCAACCAACGCACTGGTCGAACCCCCGATGACGACGTTCACTCAAGCAGACATCGATCAGCGCATCGCGGCTGCTTTCGATACATACCGACTTCAACAATCAACCGCCAATCGACCCCTCCACCTCGACATCCCTGCTCCGGAACCCTTCAGCAGAAAGGCAGAGGATCTTAGATGCTTCCTTCAATGCGTCCTTTCCTACTTTGTCACCACCAACAACACCAGACTTAGCGATGAAGCAAAGATCGCCTTCACTGTAGCGTTGATGAGGAAGGACCTAGGGAAGACATGGGCAGACGCATATTATGAGAAGTCGGCAGGGGGAGTCCAGGTCTATCCCGATTGGGCAGCTTTTGCCACCGCCCTTGAGGAAGCGTTTTCTGAGCACGGAATGTGTATCAAGGCGCACCAAATCCTGATGAAGCTGCCCGAACGACAGAAGAATAAGAAGACGGCGCTCTCCCTTGGAAACTATGTCACCCGCTTTGAGCAGCTAGCGTCAAAAGCCCAGCTCAAGGACGCCGAAGTCAATGGCGTCAACTGCACCGAAAACAACTACCACACTCTCCACGCCAACCTCATCAAGGGACTTCCAAAGGAGCTCTACATCTCTCTCACAACTAGGGTCGCTAGAGACCGACCCAACACCATGAAAGCCTGGTACGACAAAGTCTGAAACACCAACGCCGCTGAACAAGGGGCCCTCACTGTTACAGACACCAGGGACTACGGCGAGCCAATGGATATCGATGCCACTACAGTCGCGGCAACCTTTGCCTCCACATTGGGAGGAAGGAAGTGGAAACTAGGAGCCATTCTCAATGAGGCCGACCGGAAGCTTCACAGGGACGGAAACCTGTGCTTCTACTGCCACATCAAGGGCCACAGCGCCAAGGATTGCCACAAGAAAGCGGCCGCACGACAAGGGGGTGGGAGGCCGAACCAGGGAGGATCTGGGAAGGATGACTTCTGTGCCAGAATCAAGGCACTCTCCGCTGATACGACCTACGAAACCCTAACCCCTAACCTGGGTGCGACCTAAAGGGACTAGAGAGACGGATTATAGTCTAGTGAGAGGGGAGTTAGCAGCAAGGTGTCCCGCGTTTCGAGTGAACACGAGAAACGTCCTTGGAAAAGGCTACGAACACTAGGGAAGGTACGAGGTGGCTCCGACACGTCGTCGAAGCTACTCGGAGGCTGTGGAAAGTTAGCGATGATCGAAGCTCGGCAGAGCTCTTCGATGTATCGTAGAGAGAAGGGACACGATTCGATAGGGGGGACTTAACTAGGACGCGGTTCGTAGTTTCTTCGACGATAGTCGAAGTCGAAGGGTTCGTCGAGACGGTATCGACGAGTAAACGCAGTGGACGAGGTTTCGAAGTTACGCAGCGAGGGACGAAGTGACGCAGTTGAAAGCTTAGACGCGGGGCGAACTCGACTTATGAGCTCTGAACTCGAGGGGGGAACCGGATTTTGTATTTTTAGAGAGAAGTACGACAGATTTTATACTACACAGGACGCTACGACTATCGAAAGTGGCACA